AAAACGTAGTTCTTTTTTTGGTTTTATAGGGTTGTGTATTTTTTTGCTTTGAAAGGATGGAATTTAGGTTTCTTCCCACTTAGGATTAATTACACAAAGAACAAGTCAGATTTGTTTACTCTTTCAGTATCATTATTTTAATTAATCTGAACATCTTGGCCGAAAACCAGTCTCTTTTCTTGAAATAAAACAGTATTACTTATTCTCTCCTTCAGGTATCGATTCCTTATTCACAAAAATCAACTGTGACCGTTCTACTATCAACGACATGTTGGGTAGTGCTGCTGGTGTTCAAGATGAAAACATGATGATGTATTTGGGAATTATTGAACAAAAAACCAATGAGTTGCTGTCCGTCCAGGCTTACATTCAAGCCAAAGTAAGAATTCTTCCGAAATTGTCTGTTTTTGATGGATTTTGAGGTATCAAACAAGGCATTTTGTTGTAGGCCTTCAAAAAAAATGTCTTTGGTTAATTATTTTTCAAAAATGGATGGTAAGACAATTTTTCATTTTATTGACTTAAATATTTAACAGAGCATAAATTTTGCAGGTTACATCAATTCGTCAATAGAGGGCACTGTGCAGTGGCAAAATAAAAAAAAAAACTTTTTTAGGCCTTATTGCAGAGTGATAAAAATTGTACCAAGCTCTTTATAATGTTGGTATGTTTCATAATCTTACATATCTGGTGTAGTGATTTGTATTGCATTTACTCTACACTGCTCAATTTTCTGGCTTGGTGACGTATGTATCTTATCACACCAGACAAATTTGAAATACCTTAACATTTTTACTGATTTGCCAAAATTTGTTGCTTAAATCCTCCACTTTTCTGGTTAGATGATGTAAATTTGTGACGTTGCAACATTTCCATTAAAATCTCACTTTTCTTACCACCTTGCCTAGTCAGAGGCTTTTTTTATACATATGTATACCAAAAAGATAAGTTATATTTTAATATGAGGCTATTACAAGTATGCATGAAGACATTACAGCAAGAAGAATTAATTCAGTTTGCTGTGATTATTTTGTAGGATATAGACCGTTCATATGATGTCAAGACAACAGGGCTACTTGGAGAAGGTCCAGCACCCCCTGTACAGACATTAGCTATTATGCCGCCCTCTACAGGTGATGAATATGATAGTGATGCAGATTCACAACTCAGTGATGAAGATAATCGACCGTTAACAGAACAGGAAATAAAACAAAAAATTATGAAACATGTAAGTTGTAACAGTATATATTCATTTTTTTGGGGGGGTGACATTTTATGAAAGTCTCTGCAGTGTACGCCAAAATGAACTGATGAGGAAAAACTGCTATCTCCCTAATAGTTTCTATTGCAATTTTCTTGAAAACTGTCAGCGATGATTGATTTGACTTTCACTTTCAAAGAGATGTAGTGGAAACAACATGAGGGATGTACGTAACTAGACTACATTGAAAACAGATTGAAATACGGTGTGTGGATGGAATTATTTTCAAATGATATTTGGACTTGATATGAAGTAAAACTCTGAAGATTTGACGGAAATATGAAAATGGTGTATTATGAATCTTATAAACATTCTACATTTGGACACAGTGAATTATTATTTGGTCACAAACACAGAATTTAATTTTGAATTCAAGCACACAAGTCAAATATAGTGAACTGTTCGATGTGCAAATGAGAGTTGTTACCGTACTTTGTATTGTTTGATGACAAACATCATTTGAAATGTACAATATTGTAGGGAAGACTGATAGAGAGATATAGGTTTTCCTGATTTTTTTAGTTTGGCACCTGCTACAAAGACACAGTAAAATGTTCACTACTATAAAGTGCTTATCATTTTCTCTTTTTTCCCCCCCGACATGGGATGGGGAATTTTCTATGACTCAATCGTTTCAATTTAAAGTATAAATGTATTTTACAATAATGGTAGGAGAAAATATTAAAGCGCGGTGGTCGTCGCACAGCACGTGTTTAAATTTCATGTAAATAAACAATGTATTTTACAAGCCTTGTATACGTCGCTATGGGTCCCATATCGAACAGGACGCAGCGTGACGACTGATGTCCTTTTATTTTCCTTGGAATAAGAAAACCGTACTCTTGTAACTTTCATAAAATGAGGCCAGAATGGAATTCCTTCCAACCTCTGTCTTAACAAATGTTGCATAGCAGCTATAATATTCATGTGTACTTTCTCTGTTCACAGGTGTACAAAAAAGAAGCAGCCCAAGCTAAGCGTGGATTTCAGTATGATTTGTCAGGTGCTAAAGACCTGAAAGCCAAGCCTAAAGTTTCTGATTCCAAAAAGAGGGGTGCCAAACATTAATCACAAATTTAAATTGTCAAAAATGTTAATCTTTAAGAACTTTATATCATCAATGTATCAAATGGTGATGATGTTTTACAAGTCTTGAACTTTGAGCTGAAAGGGAAATCACTCCCAAAGCCTTATAGGCATAATATCGATAGGCACCCAAGTATTTGTCTTCAATGCTTCTGAAAAGTTCAAAGCTCTTGATTTAGTCAGCTGCCATTGGTCAGTGTATTCATATTTTTTTAGATTGATTGTTGCAAATTATTACACAACTTTCTCTTAACCCTTTGAATGCCAAACCAAAGTTCGTAAGTTTATCAAGACCTACAATGAAAGAATAAGTCTGTGTGGTCCAAAATTAAACAAAAATACAATAATGCACAAACAATGAAAAAAAAAATATGACATTTAAAGGGTTAAGCAGAAATGCAGACGGTGCATACTCTGGTTTCTACTTGTTCCACAGCATCAGATAGATTGTAAATTCATCATTCTGTGGAATGATTCCACCACATCCCCTTTTTTGAATGCTTGCGATAGGCTTTTATCTGTACATTGCTTCCTGACCATTACAGGAGCAGTGGGCTTTTACAAGGTACCACACAGTCACTTCACTTTGTAGAATCCTTTGCATACATTCTGTAAAATTATTATGCCTTCTGTGTTGCTGTAACATTTGTGGCCTATAAGGGCGTATTATTGAATAAATATTTCTTATTTAAGAAGAGAATATGTTGTAATACTTGATCCAGGAACTCTATATTCAGTGCCACACCACAGTTTAGATCATATGTGTTCTATTTGAAGCGCATCTCCATTGCCCATACAACGAAAAGTGCGTAACTAAAACATGAATTATTTTGTGAAAGTGAATGCACTACTAATAGAGCAAGTCCTGTGAGCTTACCTGACGTATGGGCAATTTTGTATCCATGTAATGTTATTTAACAAACTACATTCTTGGATTCACATATTATCAAATGGAAAATTAAATTTATTATTATTGAATTTATTGTAAATTCATCTCAATGTATAGTCATAACAAACACACTAGGCTTGCCATAAAACAAAGCCTAGGGTGACAGGTTGTGCCACTTCTTGTCAACAAAACCAAGGATTATCTTATCTTTGTCAATCAAGGTCTGGTGTTTGTAAACTTTACAGCTTTCAAAACTGTAAATAAACTAAAATACTTTATTTTCACTCAGATTTTATTTTCGCTGAAAGGATGATTCATTGAAAATAAAATCTAGCAAATATACAGTTTTTTTGTCTAAAATTGGTGAGAATAAAACACGCAAAAAGTCTTTCCAGCGAAAATTTATTCTAGGCAAATAAAGTCCCCTTTCCCACCAATTCTGATTCTGAAGATCCTTGTTCATACTGTCAACGTGATGTTAGCAGCTTGATGGAAATACTTGATATTTATAACACTTTGTATATATTTATACAAATCTTTATAAAACTATATCTCCCATCATGCACTTGGCTTCCTACTAAATACTGTAAAGGGGTTAATTATTCACTGTGTTTTAATTTTGCTTATTTCGCTGACTGGAAAATGCGCTAAATTAAAACCCAGTGAATATGTAAAATTTAGCATAGAACACATTATCTAAATGATAAAACCGTGAATTTAAAACACAATGAATATGCCTGAAATCGTTAATCAGCGAAATTTAAACCCAGTGAAAATTAGTCATTTTACAGTAGTCACCATCATGCACTTGGCTTCCTACTAAATAGTCACTTAGCAATGGCAAACAGCTACATGTACTGTCATAACATTCGACTCCAAGTTACATCAGTTTCACTACTGACGGATAACATTTATAATAAGCATTAATTATTCTGAACAATCATTCACCTATCATCACCCATAGAAAAGTAAATTAAAAATCAGGAGACCATATTTAATGTTATATTTAATGTAACTATAAAGTTTATGCTATATAAACATATCGAAAAAATAACTTTTTCGTAAGGCTATCTTCTCCTTGTTTGTGGGGTATACAAAGTGTTTAGCTAGAAATATGTGTAAGCCACCACTATGTTGAGGCTAAGGAAGCTGAAATCCAAATCCTAGTGTGCCAGGTGCACCTAGCATGGTTTCTGGTCAAATAAGTCTAATGTGAGTTTATCTGACAAATTTATTTCATATATGTCAACAGTTCACTTCCTGGATTCTTGTAATGATTTTAATATATGTGATATGACGATGTCGACTCCCTTCATGTGTTTAGCCTGAATGAATACAGTGGGACCGTTCTGTCTCATCAACTCAGCGTCTCGCTCCATCACCTGGAAATGATACAGTGAGTTTACATGGTAAATGTTAAAAGTAGCATTAAACACGGCAACAATGTATCTGATGACTACAATATTACTGGATGCAGACAACTGGTGGCGCAAATCGTATATGATCTTGAATTTAGTATTTGAATTTATCTTGATAAATTATGGTAAGCATAAACAAATGTATATTAATAAAAAAGATTTCGTGAGAAGTATGCGATACTAGTTAGCTATTTTCTAATGGAAATCATGAGTATTGACCTTGGTGCAACATACACTAATTACCACTGATGACTCTTTTTGATACTTTCCAATTACCAAAGAAATTACATTCTGTAAAATACTTTATTTAGCTGGAATTAATTTTCGCTGAAAAGACTTTTTGAATGATTTTTGTGGAGTTTATTTTCACTGATTTTGGATGAATTGAATGTAAAAAATGTATATTCGCTGGATTTTATTTTCACTGAGTCATCCCTTAAGCAAAAATAGATTCCAAGCAAAAATAAAGTATTTAACAGTTAAAGATTGGTAACATCTCAGTTTGTCCTTGTTGATCTGTGCAACAGTCAAAGTCGCCATCTTTGTTTATATGAGACCCATATCTCGCACATGCATGGTGAGACGACCACTGCCTTTCAATAATGTAACAAGGCCTCCCCCAATAACTTTTATGGGTATATCTACAAACCAGCATCCACATATTTAAATCAAATCCATAGTTATTGGGGAACCAGTATTGTCATTACATATTACAGAGTAAGACATGGTGAGACTGTGTACAATCTTTTGCTGAGCATGCAGTTGCTGG